TTTCCCCTGGAGGAAACCGGCAAGAGTGCAACTTCGGCCACTTGTGTTCAAGTAGTGTCAAGATGAAGAATGTACATGCCTCTACCTCCTCTCCACTATCGTCACGACCCGGAACATGAACAGCTTGACTTTTTTTTCTTTTTTTAAAATTCTTATGCAGATAATTACCATTTGGAGTTGCAATATTGTAATATTTAACCTTTACAGGTCCCTATAACTTGTAAGCTTTGAGGTTTACACGGCAGTGACTGTGAAAAAAGCCGTCTTCTGGGATGTGGCGCTGTGTAGAGTAGAAAATCCGCCTGCAGCCACATGCTCAAGCTGGTTCCTCGCTCGCGGATTTTTCTACCCTGAAGATGGGGGCGATACGTTCCTCCGATACGTCAGTTCACACAAGATCTACAAGGCGCCACATCCAAGAAGACGACATTCTTCCCTATATTATTTTTTTATTGCTAGTGGGGTGGAACTAAGTCCCTTGTACTGCGCCCACTTCTGGCCTATTGTACCAGCCCCAGATGATAGGTGAGGGTGATTGTGGAGCAACTGGTGGAATAAAGATTGGCAGGGGAAACCGAAGTACTCGGAGAAAACCTGCCCCAGCGCCACTTTGTCCACCACAAATCCCACTTGACCAGACCCGGGATCGAACCCGGGCCGCCGCGGTGAGAAGCCAGCTACTAACCGCCTGAGCTATGGCGCAGCCATTCTTCCCTATAGCTTGTTCTCATATAAGGCATCATAGTAATTTTAGTTTATTCTGTTTGAATTTAAAATTGTCCGAACTCGGTCTGACATGTCTTTGGGATGTGATTACTGCGAATCTCCTTGGGCTGAGTCCCACAGATGACCTGAAACAATTAAGGTAAACACTTAGCGACGAATGTTTAATTTTTCTCTAAATTCACTGTTTCATTTCGGTGCAGGCCCGTACAGTAATGTCACATTAACTTTCTCGCACTATGTTCAAACGGATTTCGATTCGATTTGTTTTATTTCCTGTTGAGATTTTTCAGTCATCACGGAAAAACGAGCGAGCTAGATCGTGGAAAGTTTTTTTGCAGGTCTAATACTCACACATGGCAGAACAGTTTTGAAGTAATTTTGTCACACTGCACTGCACACCCTGCTTTTTGAAGTATATCCCTCCTATACCTTTAGAGTCATTTCCTGTTGAGTCGCTGGACATGATGAAATCTCTGGTGAAGAATTACAAAACTTCCCGTCTCTCCTTCTACTTCCTTTCTCTGTTATTTTATTTGTTCTGTTTTGATAATGTTAACTACCGTCCATAAATCTTCCATGATATTTCCATCGATAATTAAATGCAGAAATTACAAAGATTTAAGATGAAACAAACAATATAATAGTTTAACCTTCATTATAGGTATAACTGACAACATTGCTAGACATCAGAACATTGTTTGTCTACCTTTGTCATGTGGAGGCAGATTAGAATTCACTTGATCCATGACTTACGATTGGATTATGTTCCTAAGCCTCATTCGTAAGTAGAATCGTTTGTTAGCCAGAGTCCCTTATAGAAATAATGTAATTAGCAGTAACTGAGTACACCAAAGCTTATGAACGAAGCCTGGTTATCGTATAATATTATATTTTATGTCGTTCTTATGTACGGATGTTGCTAATCAGAGCTTTCGTATGTAGAGAACTAAGTATACTGCCATGGCCTAGTTCACCGCCTTATAGCGTCGCAAATCATGTGCTCTTTTAAAGTTATGTCTCTGTGCGTATGTACATATATAAGTGCCTGTATGTGTATGCATATAATAATATCCTCCATGCCCGTTATGCTTATAATTTATATAAATTTAATGACCATTAAGGTTCATAGAAAATTGTAACAGAATAAGCAATATAATATTACACGTAAAATAGAAATGAATAGCTTATGCTAGGCCTACCATTTCGACCTGATGGAAGAGCATAAACATGTCAGCAGTCCAGACGATTGTGCAGACGAAACGTAAGTTTATTGATTGATCAGATGAGAAGAATGAAGAGAAGAGGACCCCAAACAACTTCTGTTTTCCCTTGCTGAGAACAGCTGAACCTGGCTGTAGTTAATGAGTAATGACGCACTTGCTGGAGACTTTAATGCTAGAATAGGTAACGGCCCGTTAAGGGAACGAATGAGAGCTCATATTAACCACAATGAAAAGTGTTCAATAGACTTCATAAACATTAGTGTAACGATAACTAAGACATTCCTTAAATGTCCAAATATTCATAAACGTACATGATGAAAAATAGACACGCAGAGAGTAAGTGACTGTATTATAGTGAACAAGAAACTGTCCCTTCTAATAAGACATACCAAGGTGTATCGAGGTAGAGATTTCGGATAAGACCACTTTCTACTAATTTATAATTTCACATTGCTGAAAAGATGGAGAAAACTTTAACCTCGGCATATACAAGTCACCCCAATAAAAACATGTAAGCTACATTTTTGAGGAAAAGATAGCATCAAATTTTGTATCAAAATAGCCTGAACCGGTATTTACATGGCCCTTATTTAAATTGTAAGGAGCACGCAGTTCGTAGTTGGTTGAGGCACTATGCTACAAGCTGGTTTAGGTCGATTTTTTCAATTTACCTAATCCTTCCAGCCGCACTATGGGCCTGGGGTCGACTCAGCCTCTAACAGAAATGAGGACCAGGAATATTCCTGGGGATAAATGTCAGCCGGCGTGTAAGGCTGACAATCTCACCGCCATCTGAGAGCCGATTGTCTAGAAAATGTGAGAGCCTCGACGTCTCACAACCCTATGGACCTCCACGGCCTGTTACAGGGATACTTTTATCTTACCTTTATTTTTTGGTAGACTTGAAAGGATTTTGACGATGGTGTATACTGTACTTCTTTTGGCTTATTTTGGACTTCACCCATCGTCTGGCATATAAAAGACAAAAAGAAAAACCACGACGTTTCGGAGACTGGATCTGTCTCCGTCTTCAGATGGATAGGGAAGAATAAACCTACTCAGTTGGGCCCCTTAGAAAGAGCTAGTCTCAGTCACTGGATTGTGATTGTCCAGTGATTGAGACTAGTTCTTTCTAAGGGGCCCAACTGAGTAGGTTTATTCTTCGGAGACTGGATCTGTCTCCATCTTCAGGTNAATAGCTTTACAGACAGCCTGGGAAGTACTTGGAAGAAAAACGAAAGAAAATGAACAAGAGGTTTAAAATGTAAGATGAAGTAATAATGTATATGGTACAAGAAAATGAGCGTTTTTAAGATTGATGCATCCCGGAATGTGACGCCAAGATGTTTAAGACAAAGATATCGACGTTTTAGAGTAAGCTGCTTCCCCTGTCTTGAGGTAAAAAATGGAGGTGTCGGATGTCTCCAAAACTTTGGTACTTGGCCATCAAATTATGCGGCGTCATATCCCAGAATATCCTAGTCTTAATAAAACTATCTTCTATTTAGCAGTTAACTCTTCTGAAGACATGTAAGTTCGTAGAGAATCTGAATAGCAACAGAAGACCACGTGACTGCTCAGACACACGTGATCGTGATTTTGAAACGTGTCTTATCAGGGAAACAGGACGAGGAAAGTGCATGGGGAAGACTTCATTTGCGCTTTATGTCTTTCCCATTGTTTCTCCGGTGTTGTTTCCTTGGTTTTATATACATTACTCCTTTCTCCTGGTAAATGCATGGAGATGAAGGATTTTACTGTCAAATAGCGAAAAAAAATATTTCAGCCTTGTATTGGAGAGTCCATTTTTGTGAAGGTTTAAATGCATTTTCAGACATTATCACAAGCATAAAAGTGTGCTTTATTGGAATAAACTTTTCTGAGTCGGTTGCTTTTGCAGATTTGTGTGTGTGTGTGTGGTGTTTTGCAGTTAATTTGTTGCAAATAAATAATATAGTATTGAAAATCTGTCAATACTACAGATATCACAATGCACAAAGTGAATGTTTTTCAATTTCTTACACCATTTGTTCGCTTTATCGTAAAACATTTGAAATAGAGGTTATAGGTCTTAAGGAGGTATATATAGTATTTACAGTTTTTGTATGAAGAGTCGTTTTTAAAAAGTCGATAAGCTTAATTCGAACCTCGTGTAAACAAAAAAAAACTCCGTGATTTTAGTCCGCAAGCGAACTCTACTGACTCAGACCGAGTCACCGCCGCTTGTCGGCGAAGTTTAGTGCCAACTTTTGCGGATAGAGGATGTCGCGTGGTCAGCCGAGCCGCTATTTCCTTGCAATAGCTCCTCAATTATCGCCACGAGGCTGAGTGGACCCCGTTCCAGATCCACTACTTCTCAGAAAAAATCTGATAGCGCCGGGATTCGAACCCGGATCTCTGGATCTCTAGCCAGGAACGCTGACCACTAGACCACAGTACACACGAACCAAAAATGTTCACCTGATGACTTCAGAGTAGCCCCCCATCAAACCAAATTCTCGTCTATCTTTTCAATAATTTCGGATCTATGACATGACCTGTAGAGGTTTTTATTTCTTGAACAGTGTGTAGAATACACAATAAAAAGACGAAATTGCTCGTTTGTCTGTGTTCCTGCCAGAAGCATATAGGAAAAACTTAATTGATTCTCGATTGAACCGCATGTGGTGGGATAGCTCATTTGGACTTGGGTTCCATTATCAGTAGAAGCAGGGTTCTTTTCCCTGTACCATGTTCAGATCATTTTGTGGCTCACTCATTTCCCAGTCCAATATGCACACTGGGGTTCATTTTCTGTGAACAAAGCTGACCGCTCCCATCTGGTCCTGAGGATACAAATCAGTTAATCCTTACATCCAGACATATTAATGACACTCTTCACAACAGGAACAAACGTACCTTTAAGCTTTTTAAAGTATTGTGCCGATGTTAATAAATGTTATTAAATGTATTTTGAGTGCTGGTATCCACATTTCTACATTTTTGTCTCAGAAATTTTTTAACTTCTTTGGAAGATGTAACATTTGACATTTCATATACTCATGATTCTAGGAGTGCCAGAACCTTCTAGAAGAGAACAGGCGTCTTCACACAGCTTTGGAGTTACGTTCAGTACCCTTCACAAACGGCCGAAGCTTGCAGATGATAGACAGCACCATTCTGCAGTCCCAAGTTGACACTTTGCAGTGGCAACTCAAGCAGGTCAGCTTTCATACACATACAGTTTATTGCAGTGTGACTTTTTGAGACACTATAGTATTCACTGTTCAGAAAGTGTTCTTGAATCGGCCACGCCATAGCTCAAGCGGTTAGTCGCTGGCTTCCCACCGCGGCGGCCCGTGTTCGATCCCGGGTCTGGTCAAGTGGGATTTGTGGTGGACAAAGTGGCGCTGGGGCAGGTTTCCTCTGGGTACTTTGGTTTCCCCTGCCAATCTTCATTGCACCAACTGCACCACAATCACCCTCACCTATCATCTGGGGCTGGTATCATAGGCCAGAAGTGGCAGCAGTACAAGGGACTTAGTCCCACCCCACTAGCAATAAAAAAGTGTTCTTGAATGGAATGAGACAGAATATGAAAAATACCTTCAGGTTTGTGATGGTTTTGGATAGTGCCCCCTCCTTTCTTGGAAGCACACTTCGTGGATTGGTATGCCAGTGTTCTGGAGACAGCCAGATTCGTCAGATTGTTGACGAATCATCCATCACTACACAGCCCCAGCCTAGAATAAAAGAGGACTAGGGAGAAATATGTTGGGAAAGTCAAACTGTAAAGCTGTGTTTCACATGGCGACTTTGCTGCTCCATTTAATTTCTCCGCGCAGTAGCACCATCAGACCAGTTAATTTAATTGTAATTAATACTATAGGTGCAAGTATTTTAGAATGTTAACATTTAATTATGTTTCATTCAGGAAGGTTTAAGCAGTGATTCCAATGTCCTTATTGTCTCTGTAATGCAGATTATTGCAAATTTCGAACATCCTGCCCCCTCTGTAGGCTGGACCAAGGACAAGATACTGTCTCCATTTTTTAACATACTTTCATTAAGATAATGCAGCTGTTATTAATATTTACTTACCTTTGCAACATTGTTTAAATCATTTCATCACTTAATCTCTCACATTTTTAAGTTCATAGTCCAAACCTAACAGTAAAGATAAGAAAAAATAAAGCTATCCCTGTAACAGGCCATGGAGGCCCATAGGGTTGTGAGACTTTGAGGTTCCTATATTTTCTAGACATTCGGCTCACAGATGGCTCTGAGGTTGTCAGCCTTATGCGCCGGCCGCCCTTTATCTCCAGGAAGATTCCTGGTACTCATTTCTGTTAGAGGCTGACTTGACTCCAGGGCCATAGTGCGGCTGAAAGGATTAGGTAAATTGAAAAAATCCAATGACCTCATCAGGAATCGAACACTATGCTTGTAGCATAGTGCCTCAACCAACTAGGCTACCGTGTGCCCTCTAGGCATAACATTGCTTACATTAACATTTTGAAGCCTGAAGTTCACTCTGAATAATGTTGCGGTTTAATAATATTAGAAGTTTGGCATTGTTTTGGACACATTAACTTCTTGCCTTTAACTTATTCATTTTCGACTAATTTGATAGCTAACAATTTGTATATAACAACATTGCTTGACATATTTCTTATTCGTGCTATCACATTTTCCAGGCCGAGTCAAGTCGGCAAATGTACCGGGCCATGATGGAACAGGTTGTGAGATTTCTGGAGCGAGCATACAAGAATCTTGACTTAATTAAGGACAAAATGGACCCCACAGGAAGATCAAACAAGTCAAGCCCTTCCAGGTATGAACACATTAACCTTGTCTCCTTTCATGCATCCATATACACACATAGTATCTCATATCCATATTTGAAGAAGTAAAATCATTAATAAACCTAAAATGTTATATTTAAAATAACAATTATTATTTCGAATTCACGACCTGATATTATATTGTTACCTGCAGCCTTATATATCGTACCTCTTAACTTATATAAGTATTGTGGCCTGTTTATTTTTTTAAAGTATATGCTATAGGTGACTTTACTAAATCCAATGAACATACATGTACATAAGCACTACTTGTTGTGGAGTAGGGCCTACTGTGTGTATGCAGCTGTTTGAACATACATATGATAGTTCTTGTTTCCCTGCTCTAGCTCATAATCCCCAGCATTAATTCTTGTTTGAGTGATTTCAATCATAGAACATATTTTCCCCATTTTCCTTTTACGGTGATAAATTTCATATATCTTTTTGGAAAAGTGTATTATTCAGTTAAGAATCTACTTATTTTTACTGTGGCATATAGACCTATCGCTATGCAACGATCACAAAAGAAACAGTGTGTCAACAGCCGTTGCTATGCAGCAGATTCTTAATAAGCAACAATTGAACTACAACAGAGTAACGATGTTTTCTGTGCAGTCCGTGCCAGGATGTTATAACCAGGACAGTTAGTTGACAGTTCAGTTAGCCAGTCTATGAAGATAAGACTAGGAGGCTGGTGTGAGATTGCTGCCAGCCAGGGAGTTAGTCAGTTGAAGCACTGAGTCAGTTGCGGAGCATTAGCCAGTGGGCAATGATTTAGAAGCTGAAGAATCTCCTTTGTTAAGATCCATTACCAGGAAGCGACTAGTGAAGGCACACTGAGACAACTTAGCGTGTGCTCTGGTGATTTGTAAAGTGTGGAGATTAGTGACAGCATTATAATTACTTGTAAGCGGCCTCCGTAGTCTAGGGGTAACGTTCCCATCTCATGACTCAAGGTACGAGGGTTCAAATACCCGGCAGAGGTCGTGGAATTTTTAAGGGCGGAAAAATTCAGGGAACAAGTCCTCCGGGAGGGACTTTAAGCCGTGGGTCCCGTGTCATAGATTGACGGCACGTAAAAGAACCTCATGTCTTTAGGAGACCTCTGAGCAAAATTAGGCCAAGTTTCCCACCCAAGTAGTTTCCAGTTCCTCCGGTAGATGGGGGAAGTATCAGGTACCACTGCCAGAGGAGGGGGGACCTCTCTGACAGAAAGGGACTAAAGTATTAGATACCACTGCCAAGTAGAGGGTAGAAACCTTGCTGGCAGAAAGGGACTAGGAACCCCTGCCAGAGGAGGGACGACCTCGCTGACAGAAAAGGGACTAACTATTAGATACCACTGCCAGTAAGAGGTTGGAACCTCGCTGGCAGAAAGGGGCTGATAGTAAGCACCAGTACCGGAAGGGTATGGAGACTGTAGAAATTAAAGAGGGACGCACACTGGACCAGTAACCGGTCTAAGTGCATGGGGAAACCCACCCCCTCACTACAGAATATGGAATAATTACTTGTAGTTTTGAGTTGTGTGTATAAGTGGTAAATAAATCGAGTCACCAATCCAGACCCATCAATAGTCACTCAGTCACACAACACTACTTTCCTGGTTCTGATGTAATTTCATGCTAATAACGCATATTTTTTTCCTGAATGCATCTAGGATCAGTATTTTTAACTATGAGAATTTAGAAATAAGAAGATAAGTCTGTATGTGAAGTGGAGGTTCTTGTTACTATAACAGCTAGAGGTAATGTATATCTATGAAAAGAAACAGTTATCAGTCCTCTACTAAAATAAGAATAGGATTATATTTTTGGTGTATAAAATGCACAGATAAGAGTTTGATCTTCTGAATTACAATACCATGAGGTGGTTATCAATATTTCAGAGGAACCTGACTCCTCCATCTTGAGGGCAGAAGATGGAGGCAAAAGTTTCCTCTGAAACAGTAATGACTTTCTAAATTATGTGATATCATAAACCAGAAGCCACATTCTTAATTTTTAGAGCCATGAAAACCCCGGATCCCATTAAGATTCAGATTAATTTTGGACATAAATATCTGTTGTACTCAAACCACAAACCTTTGTTCCTTATAATATAAGATGATTTGTTTGCGATATTCTGAAGGGGAATTCAAATAAAATGTAAAGGTTAAAGTAATATCTGTCTTTAAACAGCATGCCACAAAATCTTACAGCAGGAGCGGAGATAAAGGTTTGTGCATTCCTCAGTACTAGATGGAGGTGAGCGGTCTGTTTCACCCTCTGGACAATTTACTCCCAGGAAAATATGCTTTGATTCACATTGGATAGTGGACTGGGTAGGCCTCAGATCTGGTCTGGTGGATGTGCTGACAAGAGAAGTCTCTATTTATACAGGAATTTAATCCCACAGTCATCCAGCCCATAGCTGACTGATCTATCTCAGAAAATATGATAAATGACTAGTGTAACAGTGTAAAGTTTAAGGATTGTAGTTGTAAGGTTAGTGCGATTCATGTCAACAAGATGTGTGTTACAGAGTTCCTCGATCTCGCAGTGTCCATACAGTGGATGTTTCACCGAGTCGAGAATCCTCAAAATCTGAAACTCCACCTCACTTCCCGCGTGCTAAAAGTATCGCACAGATCGAAGCTTCTCCCAACTACAGTACTTTCCGTGACTTCACATGGTAAGGGCAAATCCAATTCTAGTGGATTGCATATAATCTCTATCTAAATATTGGCGATGTCTTTTGTTAAGCATAGTATCTTATATAGCCTGTATGTGAAGCGGCCTCCGTAGTCTAGAGGTAACGTTCCCACCTCATGACTCAAGGTACGCGGGTTCAAACCCAGTGGAGGTCGTGGAATTTTTAAGGGCGGAAAAATTGAGGGAACAAGTCCTCCGGGAGGGACTTTAAGCCGTGGGTCCTGTGTCGTAGATTTACAGCATGTAAAAGAACCTCATGTCTCTAGGAGACCTCTGAGCTAAATTAGGCAACAATTTCCCGCCCATGTAGTTTCCAATGCCTTTGGTAGATGGGGGAAATATCAGGTACCGACGGCCGACCTCGTTGGCTGAACGGGGTTGATAGCACGCACCAGTATGGGGACAGTAGAAATTAAAGGGGGACGCACAATGGACCAATAACTGGTCTAAGTGCATGGGGAAACCCACCCCCTCTAATAATAATATTAATAATAATAATAATAATATATAGCCTGTATGTGCCAAATGGAAGTATTCTATGTGGATGTTCTATTATTATCTAGCCTCTTATTCTTTGTGATGATTTGTTGTTAATGACATGTACTTGCTAACGAAGATTTGGCTTTCATTTTTTGTGTTATACATCCGATTTTTGAGAATGTAGTTTGCATTATTATTAGCATATAAAATATTTTTTCTGTGCATACATACATTGTAAAACATGTATTGTTGCAATGATATAAAATTTTTTATGGTAAACTGAAGAAAATTGAATAATATGGAGATTCATAATTGTTACCCTAAACCAAATATTATTACTTACTCAGTTACACATGGAGCTGAGCCCTTGTTGAGGAGCCCCCAATTCTGCAGCTACTCAAGAATTTCCCAGCATTTTATGGAACCCAAAAGTTCATTACTATGTTCACTAGAATCCTCCACTGGTCCCTATCCTGAGCCAGGTCAACTCAGTCCATACTGTCCCATAATATTGTTCACCCACCTACGCCTTGGTCTTCCCAGTGGTAACCGTTATTAGGATGGTCAAATTAAGTAATGTGAGATGGATAGGGCTTGTATCATGCATATGAGAAATGCATTAAAAATTTGATTCAGAATATCCGATGGGAAGAGATAACTTGGAAAAATTAGGCGAAATGAATATTAAGGAAGTAATGTGTGATGGTATATACCAGAGGTGGGTGCTTATGAACGTGATAATAGCCTTTGAGTTTATAGAAGGCAGGGAATTTCTTGACAAGTGGAGCGACTATTAGCTTGAAGGATTCTGCTGCACAGAATTAGATGAACCATATAACTCATGAAAATAAAATAACGATTTATATGACCCAAATAAGGAAAAGATTATTGGTGTCCCCCAGTTTATGAGATTACAACACGCATAAATTTTGTGTTAACAGAATTTTATATGAATGGTTTTAGGTGAAGACTGATAAATTATGAAACTATATGTAAAAAACAAATTTGTGAAAGGCTAAAATGAATGGTATTTAATGGTTAATTGAATAATAAAATCAAAAAAATTACTGCGATGATATACTATAAATACAATGGATAATGTCCAAAAACACAATAATTGTAACTGAATAATATTTGTCACCCCCGCGTTGGTGTCTCCACCTTATCGTGGTGAGGGGGTTTGAGTATGCCAAGGACCCTGAGAGCTATACCAGCTACCAGCGGTAGCGTAGCTACTGGAAGGGCCTCCCTTGCTGGACAGCTCAAAGGGTAGGCATCAGACGAAGAGGGACACCAAAAACCAAAAGCTGATGCCGGAAGCAGCGTCATCAGCAGCGACTTGAAGCACAGAGCAAATGATGCTCGAGGTGGTTCAAGTTTGTATAGAAACAGGCGTGACCAGAGTGGTTTGAACGGCTGTTGTACTGCGATGTGGAAAGCAAATGGAAAAACTACCACATTATCACTTTTCCTGGATAGTCTCTTTCCAAAAACAGAAGATCGCATTAAGTGGAGGAACTGTTTTGGAAGAGACTGTGGACCTGTCGTCTGACAGATTACTGATGAATGAATAAATATTTGTCAATGAAAATTAAAGGTGGTGAAATAAAAAGAGCAATCAAACACCTGCGTTGACAGTTTTTTTTTCTCCCCCCCCCCACATGAGAGTGCAAATTCACTGAAGATGTTAGCTGAAGATAGGGCTGTGAGACATTGAGGCTCCCATATTTCCTAGACAGATGGTAAGGAGGTTGTCATCCTTGTGCACTGGCCACCCTTTAACCCCAAGAAAATTCCTGGTATTCATTTCTGTTAGAGGCTGAGTCGACCCCATGGCCATTGTGCTGCTGGAAGTATTAGGACAATCGAAAAATCCAAGAACCTAATCTGGAATCGAACTTGTAACCGTTAGCATTATGCGTCAACCAACTATGCTACTGCATGCCCCTCTGTAGTTTAGTACAAATCATATTTATCTAAAGTATAGAAGTATAATGAAATTTTTTGCTTAAATTTGCTTTGAAATGTGGGAACATCCCACATACTAACACGCGGTTTCGCCGGTCTAACAGACAGCCCTCACTCCTAGTCAATATCACATTGTCACACGTTGCTGCCACCACTCATATTTATACAGCACTCGATGTCCAGCCCACCTTTAGATCATCACGTGCACTAGCCAATCAGCGTTCACAATCGCAACTGCAAGTTTAAGCTCCGCCCAGCAAGCATGGTATAAAAGCGGAGCCCAAAACTCGCAATCATCATTAATGAAGATAAGACTCAGGGGGGGTCTACTTCTCTTGTGGTCGTCGACCGCCTGAGTCTTGTCTCAATCTTAATGGACGAAATATTCCATTTGTAAATAGTGCAAAATATCTAGGTGTAATCTTCGATAAGAGAGTGACATGGAGATTTCACATTGAAAAGATCGAAGCCAAGGCCTTCAGAACATTCATTAGAGTATATTCCCTATTCAAAAGTGAGCAATTGAGTGCTAACATTAAACTAACCCTCCACAGAGCTCTTATTAGATCCGTAATGACTTATGCTAGTCCCGCCTGGGAGTTTGCGGCATACACCCATCTAGTGAAATTGCAGCGCCTGCAAAACAAGGTTCTCCGCACCATTGGCAATTTTCCAAGGCACACACCGGTCCACGAATTGCACATGGCATTCAAAATTCCATGCATATATGATTACATAACAAAATTATGTGGGTAACAAGCAGAAGTCATACAAAATCATGAAAATGAGAATGTTCACATTATTGGTCAAGGTGAAGCCCGATATAGAAAGTATAAGAGGCTTAAACTTGGCGGTGGTCAGGCATACGACCGTTCAAGTGACTAAACTGCCGTGGTAGCAAATTATACTAGAAATAGGGCATAATCTGCTGTACAATGCCTGGATTGACAGAGGCCTTGTATATATTGTACATATAAATAGTAATTAAGACTAGAATTAAATTGTAAATATATGTAAATACTGACAATGGACTGACTAAGACTGACAAATGACAGACCTGACCTCTCGTCAGAGAGGGCGCCCCAAATGGACAGGACAGCAACTTTCACAAAGAAGAAAACATCTGGTCATGAGCCCCAGCTGGGGCTCGACAACAAGACAGACAGACTCACTGACCATCAGTTGCAACATGACTTTGACTTTGACTTTGACTTGCCGCAATCATCAGTGACCACATTCAGTTCAGAGCGATCAGTAATCAGAGTCATGAGGTGTTGATTGTGCCAAAGACAGCTGCCGCAACTCTCCAGCAACCACGCTCTGCTACCAGACAGCTAACGTAGCTGCCGTAGCTCTCCAGCAACCGTGCTCTGCAACCAGGCAGCTAACGTATTTGTCACAACTCTCCAGCAATCTCACTCTGCGACCAGGCAGCTAACGTAGTTGACTCTCCAGCAACGTGCCGTAGGCAGCTGAGGCGCATGCAGCACCACATTACCGGCCGGACAAACCAACTGAATGGCTGCAAAGACTTGGGCTACTACAAAGGAGCAAATTGTACCAGGGCACTCACGGTGGAACAAACTGCCCTTTTCAGGGCCAGCCAACTTTTGACATTCCACATAGCTTCGCAGCTATTCTATACATTTAATTTAGACAATTTAATATATATAATTGTTACATATTTACATGGTTGTCTTTTAGAACATCGACAGTCCTACAGGAATTTATAGAAACACAAGACAGAATTATTGCTCTTTGCGTTATTATATTCCCTGAAACATGTAACAGAACACAATACCAAACTGTAATCCATGTGATGAAGTAAAACTTAATCCATATATTGCATCAGACTCTTGAGGAACTTGACATCATCCTAAAACCTTAGAGTGCTTTGATTATCTATGTTTGCTGTGTGATAAAATTGATTATTGATTTATTTTGTAATTCTTTTTCACTTGCATGGATAACATAATGTTAAGATTATATATATGTGTATTCAGAGTAAATACAGAATCAAATTTTTTTGGATCCAGAAAAATATATTTTTGCCTCTTAGTACACAAGTTATTATGAACAGTCGAAATCTCCTTATACCTATGTAAATAAGAATACATACGCCGTCTTTTTGTTTCATTTCAGGCGCCGCCCAAGACCAGCTCGTTCTGAACCTGATGAAGTTCCACCTGAGAAATTATCTCAAGAAGCATTCCGCTTGCTTCGTACAGCACAGTCATTACTGAACACCAGAGAACCTGACCTTGTGCAAAGACTGTATCCAGAAATCGAACGCGATACCGTTCCTGACCATGACTCTAGCAACAGCCATCGCAGTAGTCTTTCCTCACCCATACATGGACCAGATGAACATTTAGATACAGGCACTTTTCCAAGTAGCAGCAATCGAAAACCTGAGTCAATTTCTTTGTCAGCTGGCAGCTGCAATTCCCTTCAGCGACAATCACTTGATACATCATCCCTCCATTCTGCTAGCAACACTAATAACAGCTCTTTAACTAGTGGACTAGAATCTGCCTTTGCTGGAGGCTGCAGCACCATGTCCCCAACGTACACTTCTTCCCTTGGTCGTCCTCGAAAATGCAAGGCATCTACTCTTCCTGTGCTGGAGTCAGGTTATATGACACAAGGCAGCGTAAACAGCAGTCGACCTGTACCTCAGCTCAGTGTGAGCTCAACTGAGGATGAGAGTGGGTTCTCCTCCATGAACTCCTTCCAAGAAGTGGGACTGCCATTGATAAATGAATCCCCAACTTCAGTCTACGCCAAACACCCATCTTCATGCAATGACACCCGGTATCATCCTAGTACTGAGAACTTGACAAGCCAGCCAGCATCTTACTGTGGACCTACATACCAGGAACTGGGATTGCCAGTAGTCGACATTCCATCGAATAACTGCAACAAGAAAGGTGCCACTCCAACACACAGACGCTGGAGTTCCAGCCCGGCTGAAACTATATCACATTACTCAAAAAACAGTGCCTCATTTATTGGTGCAGGAGAGGCATTAAGGGTTCTTTGGGTCTGAATGCAAATGTATATATATATTCTGCTGCTTTAGTGTTTTTAAAGTATATTCATTTTGCTAGCACCACTTATGTCTCTACGGTAGCTAGCAGCACTTATGTCTCTACAGTAGCTAGCAGTACCTATTACTGCTTGGTATTTCACTCACTTGGATTGTTTGCAATTTGTAAAAGTTGCTTGATTACAATAAATAATCACTCGCTTTCCTGGATATAAAATGTGCTATTTATCTGTAAACAAAATCTGCAAGTAATGAATTGAAAGGATAAAAGTGTATACATTGATTCATATCACTAAGATAGGGATTGATAGAACACTTAATTAACAAAGAATAAATGCTTATTTCTTGGTACTTGGTACCAGCATTCAGACAGTGCAACTTTTATGATATTTTCAGTCTTAGTTTAAATGTCCCGGCCCATAGTCACAGTTTAACTGAATGTGTAGTGGATATGTGTCATTTAAAGGTAATGTCATCCTCAGCTTTGCTCTTAAAAGATTAGTTAAGATACTTCTTAAGAGTGTGAATTCCAGTGTGTCTACATATTCTTTTCGTTTTTATTCATTCTCCATATTGGATTGAAGAGTACTGTCGTCTGTGAAGTAATGCTCTTTTAATCTAGCAGAATCTAGCAGACATTTCAGTGGGGCATACTACTTCCATCTTCAGGGTTGAAGAATAAATAAAGGAACCAGCAAGAAATGTATGACAAGGAGTTTCTTGCAGGTTCTTACTTGACTTAACCTGCAACTGTGAAGATGGAGGTCATATGTTTCTCTGAACTGACAGTGAACTCATAGAAATATTCTGTTTTAGCCTCATATTGTGTATGCGAATTGTCATTATTTTATACTTATTATTCTGGAGATGCAAAAAATAAATAAAAATAAATAGTGGACTCCTACTGAACTACACTCGGTTAATCCCAGAAGGCAGTACTCTTCATTGCCAACACTGAGAACCACACATTCTCCATGCTGGATTGTTTGCTGAATTAAATCTGTAGAGGCAGAATTGTACTACTGTGTGTTTCAGCCTGAACTTATTATTGTTTCAGTGCTGGATTAATCACAGAGTATCCAACATTTGAGAACTATCTTGGGGTCAGTATGTCTGGATACACTTTATTGAGAAGTACAGGAAAATATGCAGATGTGAAACTTTATCCGCAATTTGTGCACAGAGATGGATCTGATTACCAATAAAAAACAAAATTTCATTTACGTATTAATTTAAACGTTGCATTTTATTAAAACATTAAACTTTTGAAACAGATGGACAGCCCACAGTCGCCATTTCCCCATAGAATGAACTCCCTCAGGACCAGTCTTAAATTCATTCTCCAGCTCAAGAATTTTAGTAGAGAAACCTCTTGGATAATATCTATTTGAAATTCCATAGAGGAGACAAGAGCGGGTGGATAGTACCTTATTGGGATCATGTGCTCTGTGTGTGTGTCGCTGCTCATCTTTAATACGCTCTGTCTGGTGTGTTGTGTCACAATAGTGTATTAAAGATGAGCAGCAACACACACACAGTGAGCCTGCACAGAATAATACGTGAATGGTGCTGAAAATAAGAAATAGCCGCCGCAGCACATGTGGACACACAGAGCAGGTATCCCCTGTGATGTAAAACTTTAATTTTGAATTTTAAAAGTTATAAAATTTTAAATTTTAAATTAGAATTCTAAAATCAAATTGACGGAAGTATGTTGGCGAGATTTTAAACAAAATTGACAGGCTGGTGTTTTAGATTTTAGATTGTGTGCAGTGTGACAGCTACATAGTGAAAAATACAGCTGATGATGGCCGGTTGCGGCCGAAACATGTAGTGTAGAGGAAGAAAAGACAAAGAACTACAACCAAATAAATTGTTACATTCACGACGGCATTTGTATTATTACATATAGAAATCTCTGCAATGTTTACGCCTTCACAAAATATTTCCCCTTCAATTTCATGCTTACCTTCACCATTCTTCTAGCTCTCTTCAATTATCTGGTTGAACAGTCTTGTTCTGAGTCATCCCATAGGATTCTGTCTTTTCAACTTTAATACTAATGTCCTTCATTGTGTCCAGGTTTTGTTAATTCTTTTTACATTGAGTGTGTTTCTCTTCAAAATTTGAACTCTTAATTCCTCCTGAAGATTTATTATTCTTCATTTTTGCAATTTAGTATCCAGCAGATACATGTCTTCTGTATTGATTTGATCAGTTTTTCTTGCTTCCTCTCTTGCATTTGTTGCAGTCACATATGAAAATCTGCACTTAGAAGCTCCTCAAGGCAAACTTCCCACATTCCTAAATATTTATTTTTCTCTTACATAAAAATCCCATTGTTATCAAATATTGTAATAGTATTTTTACTGATTTACACTTACTTGTCATCATTGTAATTATATTTTATTTTCCTTATGGCTCTTGTATTGAATGAATACTTGACTTTTTCATTCTGATGGTCAAGTGTTCTCAATTTCATCTGAACTGTTCTCCATTACTGTGGTAGAGTAGACTTGGTTCAAACTTTGTGGTTTTATTGCATGGCATGTATTTACTTGATACTTTTCTAAACTGCTTAACAAATTTCTGTAACCTTTAGGGAATATAGTAGTTTCAGCTACTTTACTTTACACAGTATCCATGTTTTGTATTCAGGAGGTCCCTGTTTATAATTTTGATCTAGGTACCATCTATACCAGGGATCACCAACTTTGCTAACAACTTGGTTGCCCATTAATTTTTAGGTGCCAATGTGAATTTTAAAACATTCATAATAATATCTAATTGCTGATGACTGCAAAACACATGATAGCCAGTTAAAGAACTGGGTCTTTGACCATTGCTGAGTAGTTCTGTATGTTTATGTTTAGGTTGTGTTCAGGCGTCAGAATAACTGAGGGGTTTGGGTGTAAGTAATATGACATTTTCTAAGGTAATCATTTTCTGTTCATGAGATTTCTTTTGTGAGGTGAAGTGCATCAGAAAACGTTTTATAAATATTCATGATGTGGTAACACAAAGCACAAAGCTGTTCTTAAACTTGTTATTTTAAATAATCTTTTTTCCAGTAGATGACGTGGTGCCTACTTCTAGCTGAATATAACCCCAAAACGAAGGATGGTCCCTAGTCAATCCAGACTGNCTGAAAAGATACCGGTTTACCACCATTTTAGTGCTGTTTTTTAGTTACTTAAAAGCAAAGTTGTGATGTACAGGGTTCACTCAGTATGCTGTAATTCCCTAAGCCACAACTAACAGCACTGCCCATAATCCTCATTCAGGTGCCACTATATTCATAGTGATGCCTAATTACAGTAAAGGTTAGTTGCATTTTTGATTGTATTACAGTATATTCAGAATCTTTAGTCACCAACTTACAGAGGCTCCCACAGTTTCCAACTTCTCAGTTAAACTTTGAAGCAGATGGTGGAAAGATTAAAAGGCTGGAAAATGGTGAAAACTGATTCTGTAAGAGTTTTCCTCATGTAACTGTCTCAGACCCAATTCCCCACATGTATAGGATAGCGGGAAGTATATTGTGGTATTCATGCTTTTCATTTCGTAAGTCTTCCCTACCATTGCCTCTAGTTTCTGCAGTCAAAAGTCATATAATACTAGAATAATTCTAACCATATGACATCCCTTTAGAGGAAAGAAGAGCTGTTGAGAACAAATCTGTAATTGTGAAGGCACTCTTCAACATTTAGTGGCAATTGCCCTGTTAAAAACACCATATAATGAAAGCTTGTTGGGACATTGAAACCTCATAGCCAGTTACTTTACTCATCAAGCATTATGGCCAGTGATATGGACTAATTTTAGCTAATTTTTCACCATAGAATAGGTGCATTTTCTTCCATCTGAAGACAGAAATAGTGTTAGCCTGAAAAGTATCATCAGTTCTTGTCAATTTTACTTCTCTAATGATACAAAACACACAAAACCTTTACCCCCACTGTCCCTATACATTCCATGGCATGGTGCTTAGGCATAAGGCTACATTTTCCTTGTTCTCACATCTACATAGACTATGGACTATGGGCTCTAAACTGTATAATGAGTTTAAAGGGGTAGGTTGGCTTTTCTTTTCTTGCATATAATCCTGATTCTTCGCTGTTGGCCTCTATATATGTCTGATGTTCATTACATTAAGATGTTTATCAGAAAGAGCAATCCTAAAGTATTTGTTTCATTAATATTTTATTCTTGGATGAATATTTTGAGTTCACATTAAAAATCTGAAGGTTCATTTACTTTAACAGTCATATTATGCTGCTGGAACATAACCTTGAGGAAGTCTGCGTTGTTTCACCCTGATTTACTACCAAGTTCTCTTTTTGAAAGAAGTAGCCTGTTGGAGGAAAATAGGGTAAATTTCATATTCTGTCCTAAGAGTACATTTTTGGGAACAGTCGTCCACTCAGTAGTCTTATAGCACCACCACTGACTTATTTTGTTAAGACATAAGGTTTCCTCTCTCTTCACTGTGAATTGCAATGCATGGAAGGGGCAAAATTCATAGTTACAGGAGAAGATAAACTTGTTTAGTCATGTGAAATATCTGTAAATCACTTACAAAACATCACTGATTGACCTTCATATATCATTATGAGAAAAGTAGACCCATGTCTGAAAAATATATATCAAGTAAGGCACAAATATCACAACCGTAATATTAAGATTGGTTTTCTTTGTTCTTGAGAGTTTAAATGTTATATCTTCTGATGACTTGTTACAATTGAGTGAATGTTTAGGTTTTGATATTTGAATTCAAAGTAACAGTGTAGCTTTTAACTGAAGGAATTCAAAATACACTATATGAAAGTTTACTTTTTTGTCTAAAAATCAAATTGCATAATTTTAAAGAACTATGTTTCTGAGTGTGTAAGTGCTTGTGTCCCGTTTGTGTGTACATTGAGGATAAGGATGGGAATTGGATTTCTGGGTGTTCCTTTCCGTTTTCACAGAATCTGCTGAGTTTGTTGAGTGGGTTGATGAAGTGGTAATTTTCTAAACAAATCTTGTATTCAGAAGGTATTTGGTTGAGTTTCAACCAAATTACTGGCTATCCAAATGAAAATTTTACAGCTTTGTTATTCATTTCAGGAAAATTGATGAACAGTGTCCAGTAGGTCATGGTACTGCCCTTTAAAATCCTATCATTCATGGACATTTCTCCATCTCATTCCATGCTTCACAGAAGAAACACTGTCATTGAATAGTGTTAAGTATGTCTGCTTGCAATGAATTGTGATGTTAACTGTTGTTTTAGTGATTATGTTTGTGTTTCATGCAGTTGTACCAGATTGGTTTTTTATTTTGGAACTATAATTGTAGTTTAAGATAATATATTCTCTTTAAGTTTTTGAGTGTAGTTTATACATGCTGTATATCATGAGTCAGAGCTGTAAGAGTTTATACATTTTCTAGCACTTAAATAACTTTTGACATTGTACAAAAACATGGTTCTGTACAAGAAAAATACCTTTTGCACAATGATAATTTAATTATTAATAATCCTTACGTTTTAGTAATGCTTATTTTCAAGTTAATTGGGGGATTTGGTGGTATTGACTAGGGAATTTAGGTTAATATTGTTGGTAACCCTGAAGGCGAAAATGTTAGTTTACTGCCCGAGGCATTGGTTGCTGTGGGAAGTGTGCGCTGCCGATAAATTCGTCTGTTAACAGTGAAATTGGTTGAATTACAACTATTGATTGGAGTGTGAAATGACTGAGAAAGGTTCTCCGTCATCTACAGTTTTACAGAGTAACCTCAAATTGCTGTTAGAACAACCCAGTATATTTCCATTAGTTGGTAAGTAAAGTTTTGCATCAATGCTATTATTCACGACAAAAACATCACGCACGTGGCCTTGGCTTCAAAACATGGTCAGGACAAATTGTGTGTGTACAATTGAGAGTTAGGTTGTAGTGCCTGCATGTTTAAATATTTGTCCTGTAAGCACACGTTCACATTCAGGTGAAATGGGTGTAACTTTGCACGTGTGCTTCGACTTTCGCGCTGCGATTGGTGGGAAGGCCACATGTATAGGTTGTCACATAACGTGCTTACCATCGCATGTACAATTTAAATTGAGAAATATTGCAGAGTGTCTGGACAATTGTTTTGGTGCACATTTTTTGTTTATTTAACGATGCTCTTAGTATCGGGACTGTAACGCCGGATGATAGAATGATTAACGGATGTTGAGTTGGTGGAATGAGAATTGGCAAGATGAACCGAAATACTTGCAGAAAAGCGACCACAAAACCACTTTGCCCACCAAAAATCTTTCAAAACCCGACTTTGTATCGGGCCCCGGGCGCCGCGGCAGAAAGCCGGCCACTAGCCGCCTGAGGTGTGACACGGCCCCATGAGACACTATACCGTCGGGGTAATGTGAGTAATAAATTGGTAAGGCTGTGGTATAGAGGAGTCGTAATTTAATGTGGGAAACTATATCATTTCCTGGATACGGTATAGCAACGGGCTACGGACATGACGGCCGGCGTTTGATTCCTGGCAGGGGCAAGAACTATTTCTCTTCACAGCGTCCCATCCAGCCTCCTATCTAATGGATACCGTCTCTTCCCCTGGGGGCAAAGCGGCCGGGGCCTGAATCTGACCGGTCACAACCTAATTCCGAAGTAAAGAATGGAGCTATACCTCCATTTCCCACACGCCTTCATGGCGTGCTGCTTAATTAATTAAGTACAAGGACAACTAACCTTTTTTACCTTATTCAGTATTCTCTGCAGGGACACGAAAGACAATGAGGAATTCTGTCCAGTTCACCGGGGACCTGCTGTGTTTGCTATAAGGAGCACATTGTGTAATGTATCTGTTACAAGGGAAATCACTTTTAATATCAGAGATGTGTGTGTCGGAAGACAATTCGTCCTTCCGTTACATGCATTCTAGACAGCCGTATAACCTCACCTGGTTAAGGCACACCCTAATTAATATAAGACTTCATTATCTGTTTCCTATCGCTTCATCTGGAGAATAAGGCATCTACGTATGAACGCTTCTCTTCACTTCGGCTTCTTAATCTTATACGAGTAGAGTGTCGTGGGGTTTCTTGAACGGGGGATCAACCCTTCGCAAAGCCCCTACCGAAACAGGACAATACAAAAATCTATGCAGACATTCATGCGTGGAGTGGGATTCGAACCCACGACCCCAGTGTTTGAGCTGGCGAAGGCAGTTCATGCCTTAGACCGCGCGGCTGCTGTGGTCACCTGTAAGACTTCATAGTGGTTTGTAATGTAACTAATGGAGTTGCGTATCGTCCAAACACGTGTTTGTCGACTGTCAGAGGTCCTGGGTTCGATTCCCGGCGCTAGCAGATTTCCTGAGAAGTAGTGGGTCTGGAACGGCCTCCACTCCGCCTCATGAGGATAATCGAGGAGCTATTCCAACGAAATAGCGGCTCCGGTCTAGAAAACCGAGATAAACGGCCGTAGGGATCCGTTGCGCTGATCACGCGACACCCTCTATCCGCTAGCTGCACTAACTTCGCCGACAAGCAGCGGTCACTCTGTCGGTATAGTTCGCCTGCGGACTGCAGACCACGGAGTTTTTACTTTTGCTTGTCTCAGTGTCAAGTAACAGTGAAATGAACACCACAGTCGTCCGCGTTGTAACGCCGTGTACTTCGGAGATGAGCTTAGCGGCGTTACAACGCAGGCTCTGCCGTGAGAACTGTAGATGTAAGAGCGAATAATTGCACGTGAATTAAATGCTTTTTGTTATACGGGAAGAATTCGGCATGTTCTTAAATATTCCGCTTATAAAAAGTAAGGAAACCCTGGAGTTATGGAATATCACTTCGTTTTCTGGCATTAGGTGTGCTCTCTCTTCATGTCGTTTATAATTCCTTCTGCCGAATGTGCCAGTTAAAGTGTATACTGTATACATTTACAATCTTATTTTCAGCGAACGTGGTATATAAGATTTATTTACAACGTTATCTTGTCATGAATGGCACTGCCCTAAAATTCTTACAAGATTAGTAACAAGATTAGGTTAGAAGTAAACCATATTTTCTTTCTAATTTTGATAAAAACTGCTGGAAACTTAATTTTCATATATTGATATTCTTCTGTGGCACTGCAAAGTTTCGGACGGTTTATTTCATAGATAATCCTGGTTTTAAACTTTTTAATGATACGGATTTGCTCCGGGGATTATCTAATGCCAATGCTGAGATAGCGCATTACTAGAATTAAAAGAGTTAAAAAGAAAATCCATTTGATTTGTTTCATTCTGGTCCTTCACACTAACAATATTACATACAGATGATAAAACAATTCCGTCCAGTGTGACTGTTGAACAACACAGCACGCTACGAACAAACATAGGACGACAACAAGAACTACCTTCCCAAGAAAGACGGGCGGCACAAGTTCGGCCCCGTCAAGAAAAACGAAAGAACAAGAGACACGAACCAATTCGGTTAAAGAATTTTAACTTAAATAACAAAAAGTTTTTAAAAAAACTTTAATGCATCAAGGACAGTTGCTGTAGTTGTAAGAAATTTGGATTTTGTATAAAGTATATATTACAAATATTGTATATTTATGTACTTTAAAAATCAAAACACCCAATGTAATTGTAGTTTCTAAAAGTACTGATGTTTCCTCTGATGATGGTCTATAGCAGGGGTCTCCAGACTTTTCGAAACGCGGGCCACAGTAGGTAATTCAGCACTTTCAACGGGCCGGGTAAAATGAGAAATTAATAATTCTAGGTATATGAGTTTCATTGAAAGCACAGAATTTCATAAACTAAATACAAAGTACGTGAGAATAAATTATCGTATATTAATGACAACAGACAGTAGCAGCAAATGCTCATATTTTCTTCACAAATTATAATAAAACAATGTGAATGATGGAACTCTTTTTGCATTCTTAAATTCTGATTAAATTGAGGTGATGATGATCTGTTACAATTACACTGCACCACTGCAAGAAGTCTTGTGCACAAGACGGCTAGTAACGAACTGCTCGCGCTACCTACATTACCACGAAGTGACACTGCCGATCGAGGCCGAACAAGTACGAAGAAATACCGCGAAGTATACGGTCCAGAATTTGTAAAATTGTGAATAATAGTAATATTAACATAATATAGAATATAAATATATTTTAAACACAGTCTTAATTAATGAATTTGAAATCTATGAACAAATATTCTNTGGGTCCCGTGTCGTAGCTTTACGGCACGTAAAAGGACCTCATATCTCCAAAGGAGGTCACTGAGCCAAATTACGGACGTTTCCCGCCCAACAGCAGTCTCTAATACCTCTGGTAGATGGGGGAAGCATTATAGATACCTCTCAGCTAGTAGAGCCGGTCTCGCTGGCTGGGCGGGACTGATGGTAAGCACCAGTACCGGTAGGATATAGAGACTGGTAGAAATCATAGAGGGAAGCACAATGGACCAATACAGGTCTAAGTTCATGGGGAAACCCACCCTCTCCAATAACTAACTAACTAACTAAATTGGCGCATTTCTGCACAATTCTTTCGCGGGCCATAGTTTGGGGACCCTTGGTCTATAGGGGCCGAAACATGTCAGGGTGCTAAGAGGTGAAGTAGTGAAAGCTTCAACAGTCACACTGGACGGAATTGTTTTATCATTTGTAAGAAAATCCATGTTGAACAAAATTTCGAAATATTAAATCAAGTGGGTTAAACGTGTCGATATAATTCCGAGAAAATGCAATGTCTTAGAGGTGACTAGTGACACGAAGGCTGCAGGGACCCAGCAGTGTGTTTTACAGATAGGATAGAATATGCATTCCACGGATATAATGTGAAACAAAATTGAATTACGAATGCTTTGCCCATCTGCTACTGCTGATGAAAAAGATGTGAATTAGAAGAAACTGGACGGAAAATACATAAGACCACAACAAAAACTTGGCAATTGACGATTTGTTATAGAGAGGAATGTTTAAATACTCGTAGGTTTATATTATTTTCTTTCGGTCTAATTCATTTAATTATGAGTTTCTGCTATGCACTGATTATTCTAATTGCCAAATGATAGATATAGGAAAAATTTGGCATATAGGTTTACAGAATTGTCGATTGAATTCGATTTTGCTCCATGTCGACTCTCTATAGCCTTTACTGTTTATGAAGTCGAAATAGAAATGTGTTCATTTTTTTTTTTAAAAACTGCTAATTCTACAGAATTCAGAAATTGACCCATGATTCTCGTATGTCATTAATTTATTCTAAACCCATTTTACTACAGATTGTGTTTATTTAAATATGGGACAGATGCCTACAGAACATAACATCTCTGTTGTTGACAAGCTCTGTCAGTGAATAGATTTGTATGCGATGCAAGAATGTGTGTAGAAACAGGTGACTTCGTAAACGTGCATTTAAAAACTCTTATGACTCTGAAGAATACCGTGTTCTGCAATGTGACGCCGCATGTATTCCGGTGAAAGCTCACCGACGTTTCGGAGGAACGTTTTTTTTTTCCTTGGCACTACAGCCCCAGTGGGACTCGGCCTACCTCCATGAACTTCTCCGTTCACTTCGGTTTTTCTAGATCTTACACATTCGGTAGGACTCCTTGGGCGAGTGATCAGCTGGTCGCAAGGCCTTTACCTGTACACAAACACAGAAAGACGCACACACAAACTAAACATCCATGCCCTGAGTGGGATTCGAACCCACGATCCCGGTTTCCAAGCGAACGAAGACAGTGCGTGCCTTAGACCGCCCGGCTACCGTGACCGGCTTCGGAAGAACGTACTATCTTCATATTCAGGGTCGAAGAGTAAGTCA